TCTCTCCGCTACAATGTATCCAAAATTCCAAGACTGAAATATAATAATTAACTGAAACAAATGTATTCAAGCAGGTAGGTGTAATACATCTTAAGGTCACCTACAACACAGTGAATGTTGAATGGTGGAAAGTCCCTCCATCATGATCCCAACTCTCCTGGGGAAACCTGAAGGCAGCCTGTCACCTCAGTTGTGCTGTGAAAGCTGCAGTGCTGCCTGGGTGCTGAAGTCTGGGTGTTGACAGAGCTTTGTCCTGGTTTCTGATGACAATTTAGAGTTATTTTCCCCCAGCATAAATCCCAGAATGGCAGCAGTACAAAACCTACAGGTTTTCCTGCAGTGAAATTACCTGTTTAAAAGGGATTATGTGTAAGGTGCCACCTTGTGCCCGACAGAAGCCTGGTGAGTTTAGATGAAGTAAATGAAACTTTATAATTTCTCCAGTCATTTATTTAAATGAAGAATGAGGGCTCCATTCTTTTCTAATTTATAGCAGCTGCATATGCATAAGTCTTGCAGCATCAGTGACATTACTCCTGATTTACTTCAGTGCAAGAGAGAGAAAATGTCAGGCTCAGAGAGTTGAATAAGAATGCTTATTCCAGTTACGCTGTTGCTGTAGGTTCTCTACACACATAGGTCCATCTCATTCATTTTCTCACATAGTTCACATGTACACAAACATGAGGGTGTCTCTGAGGAAGTAAAAATGTATCACCTCTTCATGTTTTACATGTTGGCATTGGCAGGGACAGCCAACACAGAAAGCATAAGTTAACTACCAAGTATGTCACCAAAGCTATTCTTACTTGATCAAACTAGAACTAGGACTGTGTGATCACTGGGACTGTGTGAAGCAGAATTATAAACAGAAATATTCTGCTTTATGAAACTGATTTTGAAACAGAACCATGTCTAAGATGCTCAGTGATTAAGGGTTCCTACTTCCTCCTCTGGCAGTTTTAGCATTGACTTTAACAGACCCAGAATTTTATCTAAAATTTAGTAATGCACAGTAAACACAGTGAAAAATATTTTAAAGTAAGTGAACAATTGAAGTTGTCAGCCACATCTATCTCCAGACCAGAAAATAGCTTCCCCTTCTGGCTTCAGACCCAATCAGGACCAAAATGAAGAATGAGAGCTTCATTCTTTTTTAATTTATAGCAACTGCATATGCATAACTCCTGCAACATCAATTACATTACTCCTGATTTACCTTAGACTAGAGAAGAATGATCAGGAGCTAAGCATTGAATTCATATGGTACCTTCCCCCCTCCAACTTCACGAGGGTTCACACTTTCAATTCTGATTCTGTTCAAGTCAATTGTAAAACTCCCAAAGAAGAAGGTTGATTCATTTTATTAGTAACAGGTTTTGAAGAATTTCACTTCTTTCCACTGGTTTTCATCAATCCAAACCTAATAGTGACAAAAAGATCAAAAGATGTACCCATTACTACATAGGGACTGAGTTGCTAGTTTTGGTCATTTTCCTAATGGACAAATGTCTACATCAGAAAAAAATCAACACAAATGGTACTAATCAACCTTATTGGCAGTTTAAGGAGAAAAGATCAGATGGGCCGAGTATGATGACTACAGGTGATCCTACAAGCTAGGACTTAAAGGTATTGGCAATTCATACTTATTTTATAATTTAAAGATAACTATCAGCCTCTTCACATACTGCTGTAATGGTGAAGTATAAAACCCAAATAGACCTAGCAGATTTCAGAAGTGTCAAACACTTTTTTTTTCCAGGAGAGATGCGAGATAAGCTATCAATGGTGTTACAACAAAAGTGGAGCTCGACAGGGTCTATATTTCAGATGAAACAAAGTTAACAGATCTGGGAATACCAAATAATACTGCTCAAAATTATTTGGGGAGATAAAGTTTAACATAAATAATACAAGATAATACTACTGGGAAGGATTAATGCAAAGTAGAGATGTACCACAGGAGCTTGTTATCTACAGAGAAAAAAAGCTGGTAATGATGAATAAAAAAATAAATACGACTTCATGATGCAATATAATTATTATGAGGGCTAATTCATATGTAGAATACTTAGAATTTCTTCTAGATAAAAGGGGTTATATAAGCTTGTCTAACTTTATCCCAACTATGCAGTTGATCCAATAAAAGGTATCACCATAAGAATCCTTGCCTCTCACCTAGTCTGTCAATTATTTTGTCTAGCCTATTATCAGACAGCATTGTACTGGTTACACACCCTTGCTCATTCTAATTTTCAGTGTTGTATATTAGATCAGTCAGGGAAAAACAGCTACAATATTGCCTGGGGATGTAAGAGTATGGCTCTATCAAATCCAGAGGTCAAATTAGGGAAGAAACCAGGTCCTGGTACTCTCTCCATCTCTGCATAATCGCTACTCACAAAGCAAATTCTTCCCATTTAAGGTAGAGAGTAGAATTGCCTGGCTGATCCCAAGAGCTCTGCTTGGTCTCGCTTCAGAGAGTCTCTAGGCTTATTTTCTTCTCCTTGGGTCGGGGTTAGCTTGTTTCCTCCATACACAATCTTTTTGTGCTGCTACTTGATGCCATCTATGAAACAGGAAGGTAGGAGGAATTGTTAGTTCTGTGTTGTCTGGCAACCACCAGTGATTGGCAGTACTGAGCAGATCCCCTCCTGTGACCCCTGCTTTTCCCAGAGGAATTTTAGACTGCGTCTGGTTAAGACTTCGCTGGTTTACAATTGTGTTTTTATTTGTGCTAACAGACCAAGAGGGCAAGGATGGCCATGCTATGAACTGGGATGCAGGAAAGCTGATACAATTGTTGTCTCTGTCATCCATTCATTACATGTCTTGGGCCATTTGCTTAATTTCTGTATTCATCTGTATTATTTTGAAATGTTTGTTATGTGTAACTTGGGGAACCATTTTTTAATAGTACTAATTCCTATTTGAAACCTGAGTTTATCTTGTGAATCATGCTTGCATACCTAACAGTTTTAATGGTGTGTGGCATCCACAGCACCCTTGAAAGGATCTCAAGGCACTCTGGTTGAATCATTGCACTAGGTGAGCCATAAGGTCCCTTCTAACCTAAGGGTTCACCTTGCACATATCTGAACACACAGCTTGACCAATATGCTTCCTAGCCAAGGATCAGTCACTCTTTTAAAAAACAGAAATATTTTCTGAAATCGCTGTACTTATCCCAGAACATTTCTTTGCTTACCTTAGCTGCATTTTTGGTTAATCTTCATTTTGCTTGCCAATGCTATTGACAGGGCTTGGAAAGCATGGAATCAACACAGCAAGGTTTGGCTAAGGAGAAAGAGGGAAGGTGTTGTTGCACCAAACTATTTTAATGTTTTACACTTCATGCCTTTTGGCCCAGTGGATCAGAGGAAAGAACAGAAGTGTCTGAGTTAGTATTGAGGCACAAAGTCATCCTATCCTGTAACTCTATCACATTTCAAAGGGGAATTATTGTTCGTGTCTGCCCTCTGCTTATTGGCGCAATGCTCAGAAATTATCTCTAAATAGTATAGACATTTCTTTTTCACTCGTTCTTTGTAAACCAATCAGGTTTTCCTCCTTGTACATAAGCAGAGAGAATAAAATAGAGAGCTAATTAAAGTCTACTATCCATTGTTTACAGGACAAAGATCTCCATATTTGTGGAACCCTAACCTAAAGTCACTCTGGATGCAGACTCCTAGGTATCAGGCTCTCTTGCTATCAATATCTCGGGGTTATGAATTTTTGTGAAATTATTTTCCTAAGACATCTCTTCTGGGCTGAAATATCTCTACAGAAAGTCAGCATCAGAGCTGAGCTAATTTTTAAAACTATTAGGGTGCTAAGTAAGTATCCATTTGATAAATATGAGAGGAGCAAAAGAAGGAAATGGTTATAAATCTGAATACAAAAGATTTTAAATTGCTATATCCCTATTTGTCTACAGGCAGCTCAATCTATTCTGACATAATGCTGGATGGGAGGTTACATTTTTACTGTATCTTGGGAATGGGTCCAGCAAGACATTTATGAAATAAAGTTTGGATACCATGGGCATCAAGATAGACCCCATTCAACTTAAAGTAATTTTTCTCCAGACACTAAGTGATAGAATTTCAGGGTTAACAGCCCCACTCACCCATACAATCAGATAAACAATTGTGCTTGAATCAAACAATGAAGCTGTCATTTAAAGAGCAAGAAAGATGTCTTGAAAAAAAAATGAGTGCCAACGTACAATGTGAAAGAGATCGATATGACCAGCAACAGGCTGTAATGTGGGTCTATTTTAAAAGACAAAGAGATATGTGTTCTATAGCAAGTGAATTCATAAACCTGCCTTCTTTCCAGTTCCTGATAGCACAGTAAGTAGAGAGAGATCAACTCTAGTGATTTTTAAAGCTGTTGCTCTTTAGATGCATAAGCAGTCATCATTTTCTAACACAGTGATGCCAAGATGTCTGGCCACCATGGGCTGAATGAGTAGTGTGGGTTGGTCCACATGCCAGAAACCATGTGGGGGTGGTTGATGGGTGCAGTCAGGCCCTGTGCATTAGATCTAGCTTTGCACCACCCTGGCCCCTTGCAAATGGATCCTGCCATATCGTGACCTGACCTCAGTTAATTCCACTGAGTTCATCCTTTTTCAATTATTAGCAAAATTATTTGCTATCAAGGGCATAGGTCAAATGCAAGTCCTTATGGGGGAAATTGTCTATCTAATGATACATGGCAACACCAGGAATTCAAGCATGACGTCCTATATCTAGCATTTGCAATGTGCAAACAGTCTTCAGGATATTATTATTCATCTTTGTTGCCAGGGCCTGTATTAGGCAGAGGCAGAGCTGCATTTTCTGAAATACATTTTCAACAAGAAACAGCTGAGAGATACAAGAGGTAGATACTTAATACTTTCTCAAAAGGGACAAAGAATTTGTGAGAAGTACTCTTTTCTATTTCCAACATAGGAATTCAAAACCTTGGAAAATGAAAGAAAAAAATCCTGGAAAAAGAGCAGCAAAGCACTAGAAGTAACAGATGTAGATTTCTGCTGTGTAAATGCTTTTAAGTTTTTTGGATTTTTTCTCTCAATTTCACACTGTTTTTCTTTTAAAATGTGAGACACCTTGTGTTAATTTTCTTTCCAGGCTCTCCCTTTCAAGGAGACTTCTCAATACTGATTATGTGTGTAAAAGGCAAGCTTGGGAAATATGGTTAAAAAGTGTGCACAGCAGCCTTGCTGTCAAACTCTAGTTCTCCTTTCTAACATTTGATGAAACAGAAGCAAAATGACAAATGACACACATCAAAGACTATCTTTCAGTTTTGACAAGCCTAGTCTAGAAAACTTAAAAGGTTCAAGTGAACTTTATAGCAAGCGATGTAGTTAAAGCTGATTTTTATCTTTAAACCACACAGCATTTTAGCTATATATTGTAGTTCATGTAAGATATCACTTCATTCCATGGACAGAGCCAACGCAAGATGTGTACGCACCATGGAACCACAAAATAAGACTAGAGAGGGTATAAAGCTCATATAAACCTTGTGTTTAAAGCAGGAACTTTCTGTCAGATTTATTTTCTGGACAAAAATGCCCATCTCAACACTGACATTTTCTCTGGGACAAAAGTCAGTTGTTCTGAAAACTACAGTTTCCACCAGGAAAGTTAAAATGATAGTTTACACCAGCTGCCTGCCTGGAAGGATTATATCCATCTCAGATTCTGTGAAAATAAGAAGAGCTTTCTAGGTGCGCTGCCAGAAACTGGGGGCCCCAATTCTCCATTTCCTTAACTCTCTGCATGCTGCCTCCATGGGAGTCAGGCAGGGTGGAAAAGAAGAGCCAGGGCAGTGAATATTACAAGTCCCCCAACCCAATGCCCAGCTACTTCTCTGACAGATGGACTCAGGAGGAGGAAGAGAGAAGGCATACTACTGGGCTGCTCATCAATGGTTTAACTGGGGTGGGGAGACTATGGTAGGTGCTCTGGACACCATCTTGGAGGAAAGGAGGACAAAAAATACCCATTACTACAGCAGCACAATTGCAATGCTACCTGTATGTGTGGTGGCTGCCCTGGGTGCCCAGCTACATTGTTATGCCACTTCTGTTCAGCTACTGTCATCTCAGACTTGGTCAAAGAGGCAGAAAGTAAAATTGACAAGAGCCAATTTTCAATGCAGGAAGTGGGAATGTAAAAAAAATCATTTAATTTCTCCTGATAAGAGGTTTCATCCTCTGAAATTACCTTCCTATGAAAACTTTTCTTTTCTTTTTTTTTTTTACTTATCCTGATGCAGGAAGAATTTTTTTCTCAAAATATGATTTTTTTTCCTCTGGGAAGCAATTTCAGTTTACTGTCAACTCTACTAGAAATAAGCCTCTGCACAAGGATGAATTTCAGATATTAGATGATATGTGATGCCAAAGGAATTCCCCAAAAGAATTAGCAACTGCAATAGAGAAAGGATAGGAGAGTAAGATTGTCATAAGCCTTCACTTAAAGTTTGAGGCTTGCATTAGATTTGCACTGATTATTGAAGTGATAATAATGCATATTTGGGAAGGAGGATGTTTTAGTGTTATGGGCCTAATCTAGGATTTAGGAGAACAGAGGTTCTTTTCCTTCCTCTGCCACACATGGCTTGTGTGGCCTTAAACAAGTTACTTTACCTCTTGGTGCTTCTGTTCATTCCCAATGTATAACCTGAGGCTGATAGCAATTCCCTACCTCTGTATGCAATGAGGTAGGTTTGTGAAGATTAATATATGAAAGACAATGAGCTGCTTAAATATTACAGTGTTAGGGGCCATGAGAATAAAAGGGAAATTGATATTATAATGTAAGGAAAGAAATGAGTCTTAGAAGGAAAACTTAAAAGAAAAACTGAATAAAATGTGCAAACACTTAGGGTATCCTGATAATAGGTGAGGTGGAAATTGCAGGTCAGATTTAATCTGTAATCAATTCTTGCTTCCTTTGTCCTCAGCAATTTAAATAGTGGGTTGAAGATGCTATAGTAATCACTGGAGTTAGTGGATATTGACTCCTACTGTTCTGACTTGTCCTACGAACTATAAAAAATAAAGCTTACTCTCTTACCCTTCAGGTTAGTCTAACCTGGCTAGGCTAAATCAGTTTTATAAAAAACAGACAGCCCAGAAATGCAGGCACATGCCTGCAGTGGCTCCGGCTAGAAGCCAGGGAGTGCTAGAGCAGCCCTCCCTTCCTTCTACAGTAGGGAACTGTCAGTGGCCTGGATAGGCTCTGGCAGGATGCTGTGATTAGCCCAGCAGGGGTTTGATAACAGTGTTTATCACTCAGTTAAGAAAACAACAGAGGGACATTACCAGCTACTTGTTGATTCTGCCTGTTGATTCTACCAGTTGATTCAGCACAGACTGGAGCCAGCATGTGGTCTGCTAGCTAATACACAGACACCTCTCTGCAAGGCAGAGGGGAGGTGGGAATTCCTGCTTAGTAGGGAGTGGTGAGGGGAGGGGAGAAGCAGCCCACAGTCTCTGGAGCTGCAGCCAGGGAGCAGAGGGGAGGGGCCAGAGAGCCCACCTAGCCCACCCAGCATGCTGGGATACTGGGGGTGTCTGGTTTATCTTAAACCAGGGAGGGGTCTGGGACAGACATTGCATAAACTAGTTTGAGCCAAATCAGTTAAGTCTGATACTACATTCAACCAGGTTTATCTCAAACCAGTTTCAGTCATTCTCAAACTGGTTTATGTTCATTGAACATCTGTTCTGTTACAGGTTTAAACCCGTTTCCTATCACTTAAACCAGTTTATGTGTAATGTCTATCCCTAGCCCTCATGTTAGTGATGCTGAATCCAAGCCTGTGTATAAATCAAAGCCCACCAAGTAAGGAGAGCTGGTTTCAACACAAAAAAAACAAGTTGCTAATTCTCATGTCTCACAACTCCTGTGCAATGCTACTTTAACACAAGGCTTAAATAGTGTTTACTTTGAGTGCAAAAGAATGCAGATTAAAAATAAGCTAAAAATGGCACAGGCATTGAGTCTGTTTAAGTGTCTACCAAATGTATTGTTGCAAATACTGGAACAAACCAGATTTTATTCAAATATAAAATAAAAATACCCCCAAACATCATAGACTACTGATCATGCAATGATCAGATGTTCTTTGTACCCAGGATAAATTAAATCCAGAGGAGAGGCTGAGCTCTACTGAAATGGTCTATTATGAAAGTGTTACATTTACATAAAGCAAAGATAAAACTAATAGGTTTTCCTCGCACTTGAAGTGATTAAATTAAGTTCATCATTCCCCTTAAATAAGGTATAGAGTCTTCCAGGATCCAGTGCAGAATTTAGTTTTCTGTCATACATACCTGTATGACTTTCAAACCATTCTTTGCCTCCCTTACCAGAAACATAATTTTATCCTCGGTAGACATTTTATCAATACCAGCTATTTATCTGACAAAAATACTGAGAGCTACTTAGTGACTGTATAACAACAAGCAGTCAATTTAACTGTTAATAAGCGTTAAAACGCAAAATGTATTTGATTATTAGCTTGCTGGGAAAGAGAATGTAATTTTGTTCTGTGTTTATGTAGTACCTATCACAATGCAGTCCTGGTTCATGACAGTGAATCCTAAGTAGGACCACAATACAAGACCACAATTTTGATTTTTTGTTTCTATCTAAAATCAAAATATAAAAGCAGAAAAAGTAAGGTTTTAGAAACATTTAAATTCCCATTTTAATTGTTTTATTCTAAATTATTCTGGCAATTTATTTATGACTATGATAGCATTACCACTTCTCTTAGCCTGATCCTACATTATTAATGTAAATGAAACTTTTACTATGAATTTCAGGAGGAGCAGAATCAAGCACTTACTGAGATTCTCTTAAATCTATTTGCTATTCTTGAATTCTTTATGTGCACTTGTTCTTTCTTTTTATGTCTATTTCTCTCTTTGGTTAGGTGCTTATATCTCTTCCATTTGGTGTGTAGAATTTGAATGCCTCTAAAGCATCTGGCTAAATCTTAATAACCTGTTAAGCTAATAAAAACTTAGTTGTACATGAAGGCTGCTGTGTAACAACAGTTTTAGAAGCATGTAATAAGCTTTTAGTTAGATAAGAGTGCTTTTACTTAGATAATGCAAGGGGACAGCTCTTGGCGGGGAAAATAGATGAATATATATTTCCAAATAATGCCTACCGGGTTAACTTCTAGTCCATTTCCTCTTGTCTGATAGCTCCACCTAATGGAATTAAAAAGAACATGACTGCCCTTAAGGCTTCCTACTCACAACCAACATGTACTTCTATTTTTTATTCATTGAATTTATGTCCTGCCCTTCCTGATAAAGGCTCTGGGCAACTTACGGAAGAGACCAAACAACTTATAAAACAAGTGAACAAGAGAATAAAACAGGAGAAACAAATTAATTTATTGGAGTCAATAGAGTTTTGAAATAGACTATAGTGCAACCCCCCAAACAAAATCCCATCTTAGCTTTGCCTGCTAAACTCCTGCCTAAATAGAAAGCACTTATAGCACTTCTGGAAGATGTTCAAGCTCATGTTCTGGAGGGGCTCAAAGAGGAGGGAATTCCAGAGCTGAGGGGCAACTGCTGAGAATGATTGCTCATGTTTTTGCCAAGCAAATTTGGTATACTGATGGTATTCACAGGAGGTTGCTCATAATGGGGCATAAGGGTCTCTTAGGTATCGGAAGCCCAAGCTATTTAGAGCCCAGCACCTGTTTTTATTTTGGTATGTATCTATAGTTTGGAGTACATCCTTAGGCTTTTGGAATATAGTGCAGCCACTTAGCAGTTTTTCTGTGTAACGAATGTTTTCTGTTATTCTATGCTCAAACATCCTATGGTTCACTGCAGGTTAGTTTCTTATTAAAACAGGCATCTTCATTAAAGCTAAAATTAAATAAGTATCAGAAATGTTACCTCATTTTAGATTTGCACCCCCATATTCATTCTTGTTTAGCTTGTCTATAGTAAAACGTTCTGATCATCCTGCAAGCTGTTTTGGATAGGCAGAGCGTGGTACTAGCATAGAGCAGGACCAACTTCTATATGGTTCTGTTGGGAAAGAGATGTTTGTCCACACAGAAAAGCTTACAGGATATCAATAGTTATTCCTCAGCTCTGGAACTCCCTCCCCTTAAGGCTCGCCAGAGCCCAAGCTTAGGCATCTTCCAGAAGCCCTATAAGACTTTCCTATTTGGAAAGGAGTTTAGCAGGTAGGGCTAAAATGAGATACTGCTTAGGGGGATTTTGCTATACAGTTTATTTTAATACTCTATTGGCCCAAATTTTGTACAGGATATTCAGAAAGGTAAATACCATGTAGCATCTCTGCAGCAGGACACATTCTACTTATTTTATTCTTGTAAGCATCATGCCTTCAGTAGGGGCTATGTGCTATACAGTCTGAAAGCAACACTGAGATTGAGCATTCCCAAAGGGGGAGCTAACTCCTGATATTATCTTTGATTATTCTATCTTGCAACAAATACTCAAAAGCAATCAATGAGACACACAAAAGGCAGGAGATAGCTAAAAATATCATGAGGCTACTTTTAAATAACAACTCTGAGATTCTTTTGATTTACCTATTGTTTTTGGGTCTTTACTGTCACTCAAATCACATTTTCTTTGCAACTGTGGAACTAGAAAATGGCATGTTTCCTAATGTAAGCAGAGCTCCTCCCCTAATCAGAGGCCTCCAGCAGTCAAGGCTTCAAGAAGAATATTGAGCCCTGAGAGATCTGTAATAAAATGATGAAGATGGTTACACTGTGGTAGGAAATGAGAAAGTTGTGTGTAGATTGTTTTTTATAATAATCACATCCCTCAAATAATTGAGTTGATTTTAGCCCACCCAAAGATATAGAATTAAATCAAATGGTGTTTTATAAAGGAACCATGCAGGTAAAGCAAAACAGGTAAGAAGAGTCCTTGAGGTAACAATGCAGAGGCTGTTCCTTGGGGGAAAAACGAAAGGTTTACTCTTTTCAAGGGGAAACCTAGGGTCACAGGAAAGTGCTGGCCTAAAATAGAGTAACTGTATATAAGACATTAGGCATGCCAGTAGACATAGACTTTCTATAAACTTATCATGCCTAGCATCAGAGCCCTTAAGCATCCTCTGCTTAAGACAACTCCTAAACTGGAATTGACTAGCACTGCTGAACACATAGCTAACTAGCACTGCTGAACACCAGGGTCAATTAGCCTTCTTACAGCACCACTTAGATGTAATCAATCACAATCCGTCAGGGTTCAAAAGCAGATCTCCCACAGAAGCAACGTATATTTCAGGGTATCGTTTGGGAATAATACTGACATACTGACCCTTAGCATACTGACCCTATGCCATGCCTAGACCACTTCTGCAAAACCTGTCCCACCTGATCATTTTCCATTGGTGTGCATAAAAGCCCGGAAATGCATACATGTTTTTTGGTTTGCTTTTACACAGTCCAGGCATTACCTATTGCAGCTATACATAATATTTATAGGCTTAAATGGATTGAGTGTCTCTTTTAAGGTTTGCTAATAAAACTAAAACTAGATGTAGTGAAATCTATGCTGTCTTCACATGATCATATAGGATGCGATACTGTCTGATTTGTCACAGAGAAGCACAAAATAATTGGAATAACCCCTAGCGTTTAATCCTCTCTCCCTTTCATTTTTTTTTTTTTTTGCTATGCAATGTAATATGTCTATTTTTCTTATTGCATTTTTTTTCATTGTAAAACTTTGGCTTAATAAAGACAGGGGATTAATTCAGTAATACCTATATCTTCTTGGACAAGGAAATACTAATTTCTGGAATAATTTAGTTCTCTTTGAAGAACAAGGAGTCTAAATTTAGATTGGTGTATGCATTTAGAGGATTAATATTACTCAACATGATAACTACATCTGCCACATTTCAGAATAAAGAAGAAACCAAACAGTGGATTAAATAAAAACCCATAGAAGGAAGAGGGGAAAGGGTGAGCCAAATTTTACAAGATTTTTTTCAGTCTCCTCCAGGATCATTTTGTCTGGGGCAAAGTTTTCCACTTCATGGACCAGGGATCCTACCCCTGCAAGCTCCAGGTTCCCATCTGGGATCCCAAACCTATTTACATGGGCTCCTTTTGTGTCTGGAGTAGGGAAGAAAACAAGCTAAGTAGCCAAACTGGTTCTGGTTACCCGAGTGGGCCTGGCTGCTAGTTTCCTTGCTACCCCCAGCTAGCCCCAGTTGTCTGCTGATACCTTTTACCAGTGCCCAGGAGACTGCTCAACAAAACAGATGCCTCTATGCCTAGTCTGGGTATTTGACTTCTTGTTCCTAGTTTCCAAGCTCCTGCTTATTTGATCCCAGTTCTCTGGGTCCTGCTTGTTAATCACTAGTTTCCAGTTTCCTGGGTCCTGTGTGTAGGTTTCCTGGTTCATTCTTGTTCCCAGTTCCCATCTGCTTGTATCCTTGAACCAGGCTTGCTGGTTCCTAACCCCCTTCTTACTCCTGACTCTGGTCTCTGTTCTCTGAGAGCAGGTTCCTGGCTTGTGGCTTTATTCTGGACCCAGGGCCCAAGCTACAGCTTCCTGGTCTGGACTCCCAGTCTAGCAACTCCAGTCTCAATCCTTGATTCCTGTTACTGACTTTTGTGGCTCTCTACCCAAGGTGACTGTCTATGCCTCAGTTCCTAACATACCTCAGCCTCCTGACCCCCCTGCTCCTGATCATGACTAGTTCAGAGCCTTCTTTCTTGATCTGGGCTTTTTCTGATCCTCTTGGTTGTGACCCTTGAGGATCCAGATCCCTAAATACCTATGTCACAGTCATATCTGACACTTTGCCTCAACTGAGAATTGCTGCCCTTGGAATTTTCCCTTAAATGAGGGTTTCCTAACAGAGAGCTCATACACTCTATAGAAAAGTCAATTGAGGCTGAGGCTATGTGCATGGAGGTCAATGGGAGCTTTTCCACTGGAGTGATAAGGGATTGATTCAGGCCTTACCTTTTAAGCTTATATTCTGGTTGTAACTAAGAAAATGCATCTAGCCTTTTGTCTCTGTACTTTCCTCATCCTCTCCATAAAGGCAGCATTTTTCTTCCCTCCACAAAATAAGACTAGATAATAGTAATTTAGAGGAGTGCCTACACATGTGCAGTGAAGCTGCTTCAACGTGCTGTAATTACATGCATGTTGGAGCAGACTCAATTAATCAAGTCTGCTGGAGCATGGTAATTACTGCATTCGAGTGTCATGTGTATTGCTGTCCCTGTGCTGAAAAAACGGCAGTAGGGGTGCTTTAAAGCTCATTCTATGAGCTTTAATTAAAGTGCCCCCACTGCTATTTTTCAGCGTGGGGACGCTCATACACGTGACATTCCGGATGCTTTAATTAAATAGATGCTCTAATTAAAGCCTCCCCCTCTACTTCCTGAAGCATGTCTATAGACACCTGAGGGCACCAAGTTGTGTCTGTTTTTTTGAAGTTATGCAGCAGAAAAGCAGGTACATTTGAAAAAAAAGAGAATAATGTAATAATGTTTATTCTGGTACTATCTCCTTACCTTCCCTACAAACTGAAGGGAAACCAGTGAAGTTCAAAAAAACCATCCAAAGGGTGGTCTTTAATACATCATAATCATTTTTAATAAGAAATAATGTTGGTATGTTTATGCATGCTGCATCACTCTTCTAACTGATACTATGTAGCATACAAAAGATACAACAGATAATGAAATGCTCATTTCATAGGATTCTTACAGTAGCCCCTAGTTCAGTTTTGCTGAATGTTATTGTCCATCATGTCTTGCTTTTCTCTGCTGGCATTTTTTCCTCCCCTAATGGTTTGCTCATTTTCATGGTTGCAACAGCTGGCTTGTGCGGGGTTTGTGTGGTGATAGCCTACAGGGCTGAATGAAAGCAGAGGCATGAAGCTTTTGAATTCATATTGAACAAGAAGCATGGGTCATTAGATCTAAATAAGCAAAAGTAAGGTACATTTGCTTGTGTATCTTTGAAAAACAACCCAGGATGTTCATGGTGTACTGTATATTTGTATACTATTAATGATCTAAGCAACTGAAAAGCCTGTAAGAGTGACTGAAGCAAGATCAAATTAATTCAAGAGTGAAATGAATGAGCCCAATTAAGTAACAGAGTTTGGTCTAGATTCTTCATCTTAACACAATTTGTTCTTCAGCTGTTTACATGATGACTATTTTAATTACACTTTTACAACTGAGTATCTAATCCAGTGGGAGTTTTCCCTAGAGTAACTGACTGCAGGATTAAACACTAAAATAGAAGCTATTAGCAATCAACAAAAGGCAGGGAATATAAAACTGTCTGTAAATATTTGTTAAAATTTGAAAGAAACTTTCGCTTCACTGTGTTCTTAACTTTTGTATTCAACTCCTGCAAGCTATGACAGCTCAAGCTTTACCAGTCAGGTATTCAGTATAAGCGTATTTTAACGTGAATGACTAAATGCAAATTCTGAATTGTAACTATAAAAATCAGAGTTTATACTGTGTTGGTTGGTTGTATAAAATGATCCAATCAGGAAACAATAACCACATAATTTACATGAAGTCTAAATATTTGCAACAAACCAAGATGTATCTGCAGACCAGGGGCTGTTTATGAAAGAAACTGTTACATATTGATGAAATATTTATTATATGTTATTTTCTCATCTTGATAAATAGTTATGGCTTTATTTAATGTTGATTTCTACTGTGCTGAAGGCAAAAACTTTCAGCCAGCAGGGGCCCAGATCTTTATTGCAATCTGCCAGACATGTATTGTGGCTGCTGTGTGCCATATTTCTTTTCTGGCACCCTGTGAAATTCTTTAGATGCACTCCATGGAGTTTTGGTAATTGTTGGTAGGGGAATAACAATTAATTTAAAATTAAAATTTTGAATTAATTAAGTGAAACTTAAATTTATGTACACTTAAAAATGAAACTATTTCAAATGAATAATCAAAATGTTTTATATAGAAAATGTTGAATCACAACATCCATATTTCTAGTTTTTTTTTTAAAAGAGTTGGGCAGGAGGTTGAGCAAAACAATGCAATAGTTTGGATATAAATTCATCAATTATTTCAGCCCATGAAAATCTGTATTTGTGGCAAAGAAAAAAAGTGCCAAAAAATTCCACCCAGCTCTAGCCATGTTCCCAAGCAACACAGGTACCAAAAAAGTACTACACGGTGGGTGCACCTAAATGAGATGCTTACTGCAGTTACCTAATTAGCTCCACAGTAAAGTGTCTCTGTCTACATGTCCAGAGCTATTAGGCCCGAGTAAATTAATTAACTCCACTGTAGGTTAGTACTTCTCAATACAAGTTCTATCCTATGGCAGAGTTATTTACTATGCTGCAACACACGTGTAGATGGTGACTGGGACTGGCTAGGGAACAAGGGTGCTATTGTGCGGGGCTGCCTGCTGGTCCTGGTGCCCTAGCCAGCCCCTCTACAGAATGCTGAGCTGGATTGGAACCACCCCAGGCTGGAAGGGTGACTCAACGTGCTGTAGTCCTGGGCACAGGAGCAATAAACTCCCTTGCAAACTGCACCGGAGTTTATTCAACTGCATTAATTTCACATGTAGATGCACCCAGGAGAAGCCATCTATATAGCTCCTTACTCTGTGACCCAGAGCATGCTGTTTTATTTGGACCATTAAGATCCAGAAGGTTAAGTAGTGTTGGTGGTTGAGCCAACAGTGTTGGCAGCTACCATTCTTGATCTCCCTCTCATTTACATTACTGGGACAGTATCTGGTGGATAAAGAGCAAGAACAGACTGAAATGTTCTAATTCCCATGATTTCTCTGCCAAAGGCACTCTCTCTCCCTTGACATGAGTCTGAAGGATTCCTGAAAATGGTGGTATTCCCATTGAAAATGTCACATAGAGGGTCTCATTTTGCTATCAGTAAATTCAGTAGCAAAATTCTATTTGGCTTCAGTGAGCACAGGATCACATTGCAGCTCAATCCCATGTTCAGGCAAGATCTGCACTGACTTCAATGGAAAAATTTTTCTTCTAATGGAACATAGGATTGAGCCCATTAAGTTGATTACAAGTGTATGTTTCATCACACTGATGAAAGCCTTAGCACAGAAATGATGGGATAGCTTTCCTTAGCTGTTTGCTAGGTATAAATGTCCTATGTCACAATGATGTAATGAGTATATATTTCTTTTGGGAGTGTAGCTTAGTTTAAGTAATTCAGAAAAGATGAAATGTAAACATTACAGTACATTCTTTTGATTTACTTTGAATTAAAGACAATATGGGTACATCTACATGTGCCATTAAGGCAATGTGATAAACTTCGGCGCAGTTTGCACCAGTCAGCTGCTCTTGGGTACAGTGTCTGCCTATGTGCCTGGGACCACAGCAGTTTGAGCTAGGGTGGAGCAGCCCTGGGCTGGAAGGGGGCTCAGGGGATCAAAGGAGTGACAGTCCCCACACTTTAGCACCCTCATTCCCTATCCAGCTGCTAGGCTGCTACAACATCCTAGCTATAGCAAGAGTATTGTTGTATATGTTTATTCTTGAAAACCGAAGCAGCTTCTGCCTATTGTCAAGAAAAAGTCCTGGTTCCTGGATAATATTAAATAGTACTTGTTTCTGTTGTCCCACTTCTTGAAGCCCTGCCCACGTTTTCTGGGACTGCCAGCTCAGACACCAGGCTGCCAGGGCAGGGGTTGCAACCAAGCTGTTTAACCCAGGGCACACTCCCTGTGGGGAAAGCTTGAGCCACTTGATGCTGTGGCAGCAGGGGTGTGGGGTTTGCTCAGCACTGTAACAGGTTGCTAATCACTGCTTTCCCCCTCCCTGCTCTCCAGATCTTGAACTTCAGTGGAGGATCGGATGTGGCTCCTAGGGTGAGTAACTCTGGCCACCCCTACCCTAGACTAAAAGGTTTTGTAATAGGGTTTTTATTTTCACTTAATAATCATGCTATTCTGTGGTTCTGGGGTCGTGCTAGATCAGGGGTGGGCAGTTATTTTGGTAGAAGGTGCTTAACAAGTTTTGGTGATCTGCCGAGGGTTGCAAGGGTAATCCCACTTCTTGATGGGTGCCCTGCACCCTAGCCACCATCTTGGGACTAAGTCCTGCCCCTGACCCCTACATTTTGCCACCAAAAGTCCCTCCCTCCCTTTGCCCTGGAAGTACTCCCCTGGATTCTTGAAACTGGAACAAAAAATCATATACTAAAAAAATCAAACATCTATTATAATTTTTTTAAATTTTATTAAAAAATATTTTTGTCCTGATTTATGTGTTTTTGCATAGTATATATAGAGGCAATTGAATAATAGCTCAAATACACTCTTACTCTTGCATATTATGTGTGTGGGCGATTAAGAGGTATATGTGGGAGGGGTGTTGTTGGGCAGTGTGTGTGTGTGTGTGTGTGTGTGTGTGTGTGTGTGTGTGTGCAGTGTGTATATGGTGGTTGGGGTGTATGGTGGAAGGTGGGGGTGTGTGGAGTGGTGTTGGTCTGGTATATGTGGTTGGGGTGGGGGCTGTGAGAGGGTATGGGTGTGTGTAGGATCATGGTTGGAGAGGTGAGAATGCATATTGAGGCTGTGGAAGGGTGTGGGTATGTTTGGGGGTATGGTGGGGTGGGGTGTATGGGGGTATGGATGTGTGTGTCAGTATGGTGGGGGTGGGAGGTTTGGGGAGTGTGTGGAGGGGCTATAGGGTTATGGTGGGGGGTGGGGAGTGGGGACTGTAGGAGGGTGTAAGTGTATGGGGAGTTATGTGGGGGTGGGCATGTGTGTGGGGTCTGTAGGAAGGTGTGGGTGTGTTTAGGAGTATGGTGGGGGGGCTGGTGTGTGTGTGTGTGTGTGTGTGTGTGTGTGTGTGGACAGGGAGAGTAGTCCTCAGAATCCCTGGAGCATGTGAGTCCCTGGAGCTGTGTTGGCAGTGAGTGGTGGCAGTGTGGTGGCAGTGAGTGGGGCCAGCCCAGCCTGGCCCCATAGCACACAGCTCCCCGTGCTCTCATCCCAGTCCTTGGCTGCAGGTGGCAGCAGTATGGGGGG